CAACCCTAATAGTAGCTATAGTAGTTAGTAGATGAAAGGTTAAGCTGTCTAGAAATAAAACAGTTGTATGAAAAATTAAGAATAAAATTTTCAAGAAATGTAAACCAATAAGGAATTTTCCCTTTAGAGATTTTGTTAAGTCTTGGGGATATATGTTTCCAGTCTAAAAAGTGAGAGTTATTAGTAGAAGTAAGTTGATCTAAGAAGAGAATATGATGCTGAAGTTGTTTTTTGAAGGTAGAGTATTTGGGATGTGCTGATAGTATAAATTCTAATGTAGTAGATCCTTCATGAATTGTGAAAAGGATATTTGTGTTATAAAAAATTTTATTTATTTTGACTAATATATAAATTTACATATTATTTATTATAAAAAGTTTTACAGAAAGCAAATTAAAATATAAAAAGTTTATCAAATTTGGTTATTGTCAAGAAATTTTTGGTTAAATTTAGGAGAATAATACTTGTACTCTCAAATTTAATCTATATTCAAATTAAAGTTTTTTTTTTAATTTTTAAGCAAAGATTTCTTAACAACTACCAAGCCAAATTTAATAAGCTTTTTCTATTTGAATTTTATAAATTTGTAGAATTAAGAAAAAGTTTATTAAATTTGGTCTAGTGGTTATTGAAATATCTTTGCTCAAATTTTTAATTTAAAATATCTATTAAATCAATTGAACTGTATAAAAAATGTATAGCCAATCCTCAATTTTGATTGGCTAAGAGCAATGATCAAAAAATTAGGCCAGACTAAAATTGCAGCTACCCATTAAGTGAAAATTTGTAATGAAAAAATCAAAAAGTTAATTCTGGCCAAATAAATTTAATTTTATATCTGCTGTAATTAATTGTAATTTTTTTAGACTCTTAAAAAATGTAGTGCGCCAAAAAGTTCCAAAGAACAACAAAAAACTTGTGTAATTATTACAATTTATTACTATTATAAAATTTTAATTTTATAACTAACTTTTCATATACAAATTTTTTAGTCTGCTAAAAAACAAAGTGCTGCAAATAATCCTGAAGTTCAAGATATACTAGAAGAATCTGGCATATGTTCTAAATTTATATACTAATTTTAATACATTTTATATTTTTATGTATCTACAATTGCACAATTTATCTTTTAAATACGAAATTTTTTTCTCTCAATATAGAGAATAATATATATATATATGTTATTATAAGTTAGTATCAGCTTGGTATTGTAAAATCAGGGATTCCTGAAACATAAACGCCATGTAGCGGTAGTGTGATATGAGATGTTTGCTGAAATAGTAATTACTTAATTAATGGGAAATTATGCCACATGCTGTTATTTTACACAAGGTTTAAAAAAAAAAAGATGAAACTCAAAAATTTTATACGGAGCTTTCTTTCATTTGACG